ATATAATATATATATATATATATATATATATATATATATATATATATATATATACTAATATTTCAAATTCCCTTGTCCCATTAGATCTACTCTACTGATGACTTGTAATTAAATTATTTACGATTAAAATATAAAAATTAACTTTGTATTTTTCATCAGTCAGCCCGGGTTCAAATATAGCCAAGACCTTCTTCTTCTATTTCTATTATTAGTCTGTGACTAACTTTTCTAATTTCTAATTATAAATAAATCCAGTTCTTCTCTAAATATTCGAATTTTTGACACACGTATATAATTTTTCGAAATAAATTTTATTTTTCCACAGAGAAAACAACAACATAAACCATGGACGCGATCAAGAAGAAAATGCAGGGAATGAAGCTGGAGAAGGACAACGCGATGGATCGCGCCCTGTTGTGTGAACAACAGGCTCGCGATGCTAATGCGCGTGCTGAAAAGGTTATTATATTAAAAATATAAGTACAATGAAAGATTGAACATTGAATAATTTCCCTCGATTATCAGATTATTATGATTTATTTTATTTTATTAGGCTGAAGAAGAAGCCCGTTCTCTCCAGAAGAAAATCCAGACAATCGAAAATGATCTCGATCAAACCCAAGAAGCGTTCATGCAAGTCAACGCTAAATTGGAAGAGAAAGATAAGGCTCTTCAGAATGTAAGTTTTCTTTTTTTTTACTTAAAGTTATTTTCATCCTAATTTACTCACAAAAAATTAAGATTTTTTTAAGAAAAATTAAATAATATTGATTTGATAAATTTTTTCACCATACAAAATTAATATAATCTATTGATTCTTAAATTTTTTAAAAAATACTTTAAGTATTAGTAAATAATTAAAAAATTTTTTATACATACCTAGTTTTGTTAAAGATTTATTAAAAATTCTTGATAGTATAGCCGTATGAAAATTTGAAATTTTTTACATAATATATTTTTCCACAATAAAAACTTAAAATTAAACTCCAATAACCACAATTGCAATTGACCAGCCATAAAGTGGCGCCCTCAGTGAATTTTTACCAACCGAGCATCAACAATTAGTTCGAAAGGAATCCGAGTCAGGGCGCGAGTATTAAATAATTACCACCACGTTGGTAGTCCGGAGGGGATGCCGGAAGGTATGGAGGGTATTACTGCGTGAGAGATGTTACACGCACACAGTGATGCGTGGACAAGTCGTGCTGCCCGTTTTGAGCATTGACAAGTCAGGAAAGTTCCAAGTGGGGGGGGGGGGGGTGACAATCGTGTCCATGTAATCTCCCAACACAATTTTAACAGCTGAAAATGCGTGATCAGATACAAGATACCTAACCAGACCAGAGTACCAGCAAGCAAGAAAGAAAAATAAAGAGAGACAGTGACTAACTACAAAATGGCGTTAACAATTCTGGTGCAGTGGTAGCAGCAGTGCGCCTTAGAGCTGCCGGAGATTGCATTACAGCGGGTGTTTTAATTTCGCTGGGTCACTAGGTTGGTAGGGAGATTCTTCCTATTGTTATTGTTGGTATTGCTTTATAGTTTGTTATTGTTATCGTTGTTTTTTTTTTAGTAGTTGTTGTTAATGTTTGAATTTACACCACCTGGACACCTGTTCTATCAACATTCTCAATCAAGTTTGCTAATCACAATATATATATATATATATATATATATATTTATATATATTAATAAAAATCATTTAAAAAAAAAAAAACAAAAAAATACTGAATATGGATCAAACATTAACGTCAACCACACGGCGACGTGGACACCAACATCATCCGCGACACGCGACCAGAAGAAGACTCGACATATCCAACAGAGGACCCGCGCAGTGTGGCCCTGTTGCTGTTGATAAAAATTTTACACCAATAGAGAATTTTATTGAACCAAATGACAAGTGCCAAAAGTCTGTCACTTTGTCAGTAGTATCTTTGGACCATCCTTGTCCTGATGCCAGCAAGCTTTCAGGACAGTTGGACGAATCTGATGATTTGCTCCAATTTAGGCCCGCGCAGTGTGGCCGGACCAAAGATAAAAATGAGTCTACTGATAACGATCTGGGTCGCCGCAGGGTTAAGCTACAAGTTAAGGACAACAGAGATAGCAATAATACAACTAATCATAACAGTGACAACAAAAGGATTGATTTTGATTTTGATGAGCTAAAAGAGTCAAGCAGTCCCGAGCCTGAGCACGCGGTCGCAAGGGCTCGCGGTGACGGTCATTCTGATGATGAAGCGCCCAATGAAGAAGACCCTGAGTTGGTAGAACTTGCTAAACTTAGATGTCCCAGTGAGAGGACTGAAGTTACCGCTGAGAGAGAGGCCAGGAGGAGGAAGAGATGCGCTGATTATCCTGGACTTGCTTTTGGGTCCTCGATTTTCTCCAGTGACACTATGATCAAGTTCAGTCTTATCAGAAATGAACTTCAAAACATCATGGGCAATCAGCTTAAAAGGGTAATTATTCTTAGGTTTTCCATTCGGCTGAGTCATTTTAATTCTCACGTCGAGAGTCACGTGGTTTTGGTTATTGGAGTTATTAAGTTTTTTTTTTTTTTTAATTAATTTAGTTTACTGATTTGATAAATCATATTTTTCTTTTTAATTTTAATTCTTTTCCTAAAAACTAAGTATAAGCGTGGAAATTAAAATTTTCATATATAGTTTAAGTTGGTACACTCACACTTTTATCTGATATGATTTTTGATAATATTGATTTATTTAAAAAAATCAAATTCAGATGTCTAATATTTAAATAAAATATTTACCAGATATTTTGAATTTGTAAAAAAAATTTAATATATTATAATAAGTGTGTTAGTATAATAATGTCACTAGTCTGTGAATCGGCAAATCGGCAACGGTTTCGCTAAATACCGTTCAATTTGAATGCCAAGTACTTTCTACAAATGCGTTACGGGAATTGAAATACGTATCTGAATAACTTAAATTTGAATTTAGATTATTTTTTTAGTGAGATAAATAAAAGAGAATAGTTTATACAATTAGAAGTTGATTTGGTTACATCTGGTATTTTGTAATGTCGAGCTAAAAATATACAAACCAACTTGATCCAGTGACTTTAAAATATATATAACGCAGGTACTTGCGTAAGATCGTTCGAGAATATTATACGTGCTCTAAAATTATTTATTAAATTTTTATTATTGTTTATAAATTCCGATTTGAGTATTTTTAGCTTTAATTTTTACCAACAAAAAACTCGACAATTAACATTGACCTTAAATTACATTGATGACAGAGTTAAATGGTCTTGAGAGTCTCTGTTTTAAATTTTTAAACAAAATTGATAACTAAATAATAATTCGTGGATTTTAATGGAATATTTCGGGCAAAAGAAACAAAAATGATGAGTAATGCTGCAATGGGCCTGCCTTTATGATTCTTTATGATTCTTCTTTGAATAATACTCGGTATTATTATTCGTAATATATATTTGGCTGCAATCCAGATGAGGAGGATGTTTAACTTAAAAGTGCTCGCTGTTGCTTCTCACAGCTGTACGACCCAAAATAAGTCATGAAAGGAAAAGGAAAAGGAGCAACATATTTTTTAATATTGTTATCCATAGAAATGATTGACCGTTCTATAGGTACTTTCAAATACTTGAGATTTTTTAATTAAATATTTATAGAGAAAAATAATTTTTTTTTTTGTTTCTTAAAATTGTTAGATTTTTAATTTAATTTTTTCTATATTCAGAAGCTTTAATTTTAGGAAAGTAAAAGTACTATTTTATCAAACAGTAATTAACAATACTTATAAAGATTAATTTTTTTTTAATTGCTGGTAATTAGTTCCCCTTAATAAATGGGTCGGTTTAGATAAAAAGTTAAATTACTCTTATCATTTATCATTTATTTTTATGTAATTGAAAAAAAAATTTTTTTTTTTTTTCGTCGTCAGACTTTAATTTTTGTTTTAAAAAACTCCACCGTTTATTCATAAGATTTTCTTTAAAAATAAAAAATTTTAACTGAAAGTTCTTTAAGGAGGTCCTTTCGCCGCCAATGTAAAATAAAAAATATTAGATTATGAGTAAATTCAATTTTTTTCTAATAGTTAAGGTCCTTATTTATCTAATAGTGAGGTTTAAATTATACTTTACCGGACAAATTTTTGAAAAAATAAAATTTTTAAATGTTAGTATTTGTTCAGAGTCTTACGAGAAAGTCAGACGTTCGCAGTATTTCTCGAATTATACTATCAGCCATGGATTAGATGAAGTAAAAAAAAAAACTAAAAATTAGATTTTCAAAATATTCAGGTTTCTTTTTTTGCAATAAAATATATCAGTTACCGAAATATTTATTGGGAAATTAATATTTAAAAATCACAAAAAATTCTCAAGCAACCTACGTTAAAATGGAGTCAAAAAATTTGGCAACGTTGCGTAGCGCGCGAACTTCAGACCATTCAATAAATTCAAACTAATTCATTTATTTATTTACACTGACTGCAAAAACTTAAACGTAGTTAAGGTTATATTGTGCAAATGAAAATGTAAACAACCGAAGGACAGCGTTGCCAAATCACGGACAGGTTACTAGCAGCTGATTTGAAAGAATCAAATTAATTTTTGTATTTAACTAATTTTTTTTTTTTATTTTCAAAATTTCAACAATTAATGCCTCATATACTATTTATTATTTAATTTTAGGAATTTTTATGGATTTTTTATTTTAATTTATCGTATATTGACTACTAAAATTGTTTTGACTCAACTGGAGCGAAAGGATTTCCTTAAAAAAAAAAA